CCTCCCCACTTTTCCCCCTCCCCACTTTCCCCCTCCCCACTTTCCCCCCTCCCCACTTTTCCCCCTCCCCACTTTGCCCCTTCCCCACTTTGCCCCATCCCCACTTTTCCCCATCCCCACTTTGCTTCTTCTTGCTTTAAGAGAGGCATATGCGACAAATAAAAACATCGATGGTTTGAGTACATCAACGGTTTGAATGGTCACTTCATTGACTTCCATTTACTCTTAAGTTGGCCTCAGAGGATGCGGACTTAGAAACATCCCATCTATGTAGTAGTGAGCCGCTGAACCATTCATTTACGAATCTGTTCAGTGCTGTCTGGAGACTGAGATTATGATGTCAAAGATGTGTCAGAAAAAGCCCTCTCCACATTTGAAGAGGCTTGTAAATACTCGAACACGGACAGGGCAGAGTGGAAATGGGGCAAAGTGGTGGCGGGGCCAAGTGGGGATGGGGTGATGTGGTTAGGGCCAAAGTGGAAATGGGGGAAGTGACTGTGTAAGGCATTAAAACACTCATAGTTTCCCTCCTAATTTCCCTCTGAACTCAACACCCTGCCATCTTTTCACAACATCAACCCTACAGTTATTGAGCTTGATGTCATAGTCACCCACATGTACATGTACATAGTAGGCCTACAGTACACAGGTGAATCCAAAAGTTAAAATGTACATGTACCAGTAGGTCTCCCTACTATAGGAACAGGGTCCCCAAATATACAATCCCTGTGTTGATCAGTGTTCATCATCTTGATGTGCCTGACATGCCCGAGTTTCAGTTGTTCCATCAATGTTGATGTACATGTAAGCAGTCAACAAAGGATGCTGTGGGGTTTAGCTGGCCTCACACTTTTTCTTTTATTGTATTTTGTCAAGTTAAGCAGGGTGTCTACTGTCTAGAGTAAAACCAGCTTTCTTGTCTCGTGCGTGTGTGTGATTTTTTTTTTTCAGGTTGGAAATGTAACCAGTGAGTGACCTGCCGACTGTCATCTGATATCATTGAAGCTGTTGTCGTACATTATGGGGAACATTAATGTCAGGACATTACCTCCTTTCCCTCATGTTCAGAAAATGAATGGTTCATGTTTTATGGCAGCATTGTTCTTTTGAATCAACGTACATGTACTACGAGATTGGAAGCTATTTCTACTGCTTTCAATCTGAGAAGAGGCACTTTAGTGAGCATGTTGCATTTTGCTTTTGTTTACCTTTCAGGCTGACCCCACCTCCAAACGGCATGGGGGCGAGTTGGTAGCTGAGACATTGAAGGCCCATGGTGTTCCCTTCATGTTCACATTGTGTGGAGGCCATATCTCACCTGTCAATGTGGCAGCAGATAAGCTTGGCATACGCATCATAGATACCAGGCATGAGGTGAGATAAATACATGTAACCCCCCACCATTCCCAGCTTCACACCTCCCAAGTTAACATTGTGCTAATGGTACTTTCACATTAAAGATGAACTGATTCCAAACTGGAAATCATACTCGCAGTTCAGTGTTTTATATGTAGCCAAATAAATGACCTACATGTATTTCAGCCAATTCCAAGGACTACTCTCCAGAGTTGCATTCCAGACACTCCGAAACAAATGCACTTTTCAAATTTAATTGTGAAATACAATGTAGATTGTAAGTGGGAAAGTGCTGCGCTTGGGAAAAGGATCTTGCATCTTTAAAAGTTCAGCATTCAGAACTGTAGTAGTTTGATAGCCATATGATAGAGATGTACGGTGCATGTAATAATGTGAGGACATGTTGAGTAGAATTTCTGAATGGGATTTTGACTCCTGAAAGAAATTGGATTGACTCAAAGTGACAAGAGGTCATGTCAAGTTATTATTGTAAGTTGCAATTTGAATACAATACATACACATGTACATGTACCGTGTTAATGGCAACATGTTTTGCAGTTGAGCCTGTAAGCTCCTTGGGCTTACTATTCTTTCTGGACATGTATTTTATGATGCACATGGCTTCAACATCATCAGATATTGTACATGTGTACTGTAACTGCCACTATATTGTGGTGGTCACCCAGTTACATGTACACTGTGTTGGCTATGCTGTCAGTCCACACATTTTGCATATTTGTTGGAGTAACTTTTATCTTTTTGAAAGTTTGGATAAATCAAGCAGCCACTTTTTCTTGAATGATAGTAATTTTCATCGTAAACACTATAAAAAACAAAGGAATACATTTTTCTTTCAAAAACGTTCATGTTGTGTACATGTCAAACTTTTCAAATGTCTAGTTTAAGTTTTTGACTACTCTGTTACACATTTTGAAAGGAAAAATTTCTTTAAATAACATCCATTTTCAATTAATGGAATTAAATGTATACTGTAACTCAGTCAACTCCGTACTGAAACCGATTAGCCAAATAAAAGTAACCAAAGAAAACGTTCAACATAGGGACATTACTTGACATCCTGTGTGCGCGAATTCTCTGAGACTGGTCTGATAAACTTCAAAAATTTTCTCAGCAAACACTCCAATACTTTCTCTGCCGAATTTGACATTTTAGGACATTTATCAAGTCCTCATGTATCACTGTAGATATGTACATGTACATGCAACTCTTACTGTATGCATATGTACACGTACCACTGCAGTACACAATGCTGCTAAGCCACCATCATGCAAGCTAACATAAATTAAGCAGAAACTGAGCTACATGTTCAGTACATTGCAATTGAAAGTTAATATCAAAAGGGGGAAAACTTTTCACACTTTTTCCCCTGTGGGAAAAAGAAATTTACATGTACAAGTGGGAAATTTTTTCACCACTTGAAAATGTGCACACCTTTTTCACAAGTGGGAACTTCGCCTGTGAATGGGAATTCTTTTCACAATTTTTCCCAGTCGTTTTCACAGGGTTAAGTTTCAATTGCAATTTACTGTACGTGCCCCTTTAAAGGGTCACACCTAGGTTTTTCTGTTGTGACACAGTGGTTACGTTTGACCAAAGAATAGACAATGGTTTGACTGATAACAGGAAATTCAACAAGCTCATTGTTTCCAAGAGGGACACCAAAAAGTTTGTTTGGAAGGCTGCATTGTCTTGCATAACTTCACAAAGGTCAGTCTGACTAGGAAGAGCTCAGTACCACAATTTATGAGTAATCTCCCACTTCCTTGAACAAAGGATTTGAGAGTGGAAATCTGTTGGCAAAATATGTACATGGTTTGTACAGTGCAGTAAACTATCAGGACCAGTTCACAGGGTCCCCACAGCCTTGGAAAATCCTGAAAAATCTCGTGGAAAAGAGTTGTCTGGAAATTCAAGGAAAAGTCATAGCAATCCAAAGCATGCGAGGATTATTTTTGGTTGGATCTCGTTTGATGTGATCATAGAATGACGATAAATAGCTATGGCAGTCTTCAAGTTTGTAGTACTAACCAACAATTTTTTCTGCACATGCCATTAAATGTCACGGCAATTTGTTCTTTTAGTCCTAACAAGTTTGGAAAAGTCTTGGAATTCAGTTTGCAGATTTTTGTGGGAACCCTGAATACAGTAAATAGGAATTCCAGAGATGTACCCTGTATGACAAGTTCCGACTCCAAGTGTTCCAATAGAACCTCTAGTTGCATAAGCTACATGTACCCTACATGGGGTGAGGGACAGGTGTAAATGTTCACCTTCATGGGTGTACAGGTACCTTGGAAGCTAATTTGTTCAAAGATAAGATACTGGTACCAGTCCATAGGCAGTATGTTAACATTCAACTAAAAAGGTGATTGTACAACATGTACCACAGTGGCCTAGCTCGTGGGTTATTACTAGTGGGAGGGGCACAAAAGGGACATCAGCATCTTATGGGGGAGGCATCAGCTTTCAGTGGTGTGGTTTTGGGGGGCAAGTTTTTGTTAGCCTTGTTCAATATTCATTCATCCATTTTTTTCAGTGAGGGATCCGGGGGGGGAGGGGACCAGGAGTTGGTTGGTGGCCCGTGTCACATACATTTTTGTGTTGGAGCATGCATATTTTTACATTACAATAACACCCTAGGGCCTAAGAAACAGCACTGTACTTGAAAAAGAAATATTAAAGATGAAGTGCTGCAATGCTTCATGTACGGTACATGTGGCTAGCAGCTGAAGGAGCTTGCTGTGAGGATTATACATGGACAGTACCATAGTATGCAGACACGTACATCATGTACATATAGAAATGTACATACCGGTACGTAAGTGTTAGACTGCCAGATGTGTATGCATGTACATGTACCAGTACTGTAGATGTTTATGCATGAATTGCAGAAATCCTGAAGCTCAATACATACACGTACATATATTTTGACAGTTTGAGTATGTACAGCCACATGGAACTGAATTATTCCATTGCTCAAAACTCAAAGGGATGCATTTTTGTACTCACACTAGGCAAGATACGGTAGCATTTACAATGTACTTGTACAGGGGGTAGCATGTACATGTGCGGGGGTAGCTTTAACATACATGTACGGGGGTACTGGTAGGTCTCTGTTCCTATTAATTCATATTCATACATTTTACGGAACTTGAAGTGTTTATGGAATTGAATATAATGAGGCTACGTGCACATTGCGTATAAGATAAGTACATAAATGTACAGTGTAGATGGACCACACAATTCCAGTGAGAATGAGGAAGTTACATGTAAAATAACTCAGTGTTGTGTGATACACGTACATGTACACTCTAAATTATCTTGGAATTCTTGTCTTTAAACAATTGGACATCCGCACTGTAGTTATTGGTAAAGTGTGTCGTTTTACTTACAGCAAGACAAATCCCCCTGAGTTTGAGTCCATACCCTGTGCATTTAGGGTAATAGAAGAACCTGCATGTACATGTAGCATTTGAAAGGTTTATTTTTGACTTGTGTATATGGTGAAGGTTGAGGTGCAGGTGTACATGTACATACGTGTACATTTAGAAGAGAAGATCTGTTCTTTATCCGTTCCAAGCGGGAAAAAAGAGGGCGTGCTCTTTTAGGTACTCATCACCGCTTAGAGGCGCCATGAGGCGCGCACGTGTGTGGTTGACGTGGAGCACGCTGAGTATGCGTAACTAATTTATGCTAGCATGCATGGTCTTTGCGTACACGCAGAATGCATGCAAGAACCTGCTTGTAACCAGCTGTCTTTCTTTTGCCAATTGGGGGTGCACTTCAGCTCAGGGCGGATACCTGTTCATCGGAATGGTCAACCCTACAGTGTACATGTATACATGTGTAACTCCCTTTAATGTTCCACATCCTTGCAAATCCCAACACCATGTACATGTACATACACTGTACCAGTACATCTTGGAGGAAGGAGGGCACATTAGCAAGCTGAGCACATAAACAGTTGGTCTCTGTTTATTTGTAGTAAGCATTAATCCCACATAAAACACAGGCAGTATACCAGTGCAGTACTCATCCTACCAGATTCATACATGTACAAACCCTGGTGTTGGAGTTTGGCTGGTTTGAAATCATTCTAAAGGGTTAACCAATCACATGTACATGTAGTTTGATATTAAAAGTTCATTCATTTTGGATGTTGGCACCATTGTCAATTTAAAACCTACACAAGTAAATGCAGTAGACATTCAATGTACGTACCTGTACATGTAGGCTATACAATGTACAATCTACAGTGTATGTACATGACACTGTGGAATCATACTGGTACATGTACAGTATACCGGTACATTTACATTGTACATGCACATGTACATGTATGTGAATACCTGTACATGGGTTTATGTTTGCAGTATACACTCCATAATGACTGAGGTGAATATTGAATATCTGGATGAATGCTTAATGTGAACTGAAAATAAAAGACCTTACAGGTCTGGTTCAGTCTTTTTGTCCAGTTTTATTACTGGAATGCTTCCATGTAAATTCAGCAACAACCTTTCTGAATACAAAGCACAAATGTTTTATGAATCTTTTGCCAATAAAATATATCTCTATGTATAATAATAATTTATAAAGCAACAACGTTATTTATGTACATCTACATGTACGTGAGTATCCAAAACTATTCTCCCAAAATAACATCATTGTATGGCTCATTTTATGGCTCGTTTTTATGGCTTATTTTATTTCACCAGGCCTAGTACAGCATCCAAGTTAAGGGCAGTTTTATCAAGACAATGTCATTCTGTAACAATACCCAACTATTATTTTCTAAGTCCAGATTTTTTAACTACTTGCAGTCTCCACAACAAAGTTGTTCCAGACCCCAGATGTTGCACATATAATTTGCTTTTGTCCAAAAATGCTGAATTGTTACATCAACCACAACCACAACCCTTTTGCAAAGTATGCCGGTAAGAATAACGCATTTTCACACTTGGTAGGCATTTGTTTAACAGGTTAAGGTTTTTATGGCTTTCGTCACCACATCATAATTTTTTACTCTGAGACAATGTCGTAGAGTGATATTTGCTACAATACCTGGCTGCAACACAGAGAAAAGGACACACTTTACCTCCATAAACTAGTTTGAACTTCTGTGTGAACGGACATACCGGTACCGTATGAACACAACAATGGGAATCACTCAAGCATAGGAACGATTATAAACATCATCATATAGAAATTGCTATGGCACATTCAGATGTCATCTGTCAAAGTAATCAATGGACACAGAAAAGCCCTGCATGTTTACTCATTATTTGATTTATGAATGTTTGAAATGGTTAATTAATAGCACGACCATGTTTATGGCTAGGCAGCCAGGTGCAGATGGATTCCCTACTGCAATAAAAGAACACCATTGAATGACCTGCTCTCTGCAAGCCCCACGCCCACTTTGCCAACATCCAGGCTTAGATTTGGTTTGAGTTTGACAGATTCATTCCTTTATTGTTACATTTTTATGTGAAGCATATAAAAACGTGCATTAGAATTTCAAGGTACATGTATGAACCTGAGGTACTGGTACCTTGTAAGACTGAAGTGTTTTCACAAGATGTACTGTAAAGTGATAAGAGTGCATATGTCACATTTGGCCAGTTTGTTTCATGCGAATCTGGGTCGGTGATCCGATTGCTGGTTTGCTCTATCCATTAGGCAGGTTTTAGTGCCAGTGAACCAACGACGGATCACTGTCACGATATCTGGCCCTGTAATTTTAGAATGGCCCAAACTGTCTGGTGATATCATGAGTCTTAGTCTTTCACTGAAGATCACGCGCAGTGTACATACATACGTCAACAAACATGGTTTCAAATGAACTGTATGACTGAATTCCATCCATATCTTGATATCCTTTACTGGATTTTGACAGCATCTGCTGCATTCAGGCTGACTTCTCTCTCTTCTCATTCCCTGTGCTGCAGGCCTCGGCTGTTTTTGCAGCAGATGCAGTCGCCCGCCTCTCTGGCAAAATTGGGGTTGCCATAGTGACGGCCGGTCCTGGATTGACCAACACCATCACAGCTGTCAAGAATGCCCAGATGGCAGAGTCACCGGTGCTTTTGATGGGCGGTGCAGCAGCAACAATGCTCAAAGTAAGACCATTCTCCAAATCATGGCTTTGTCTCAAGAATGCCTTCAACTCATGAACGTTCCTGAGTAATGAGCCGGTTCGGTATTTCAAACCAGCAGGGTCATTCGGGAACAATTCATATGCATGAGTCAGCACAGGGCCATACTAATAGGCTGAGCTTCATTTTGGGCATGCGCTGTAGGCATACTGAACTACATAGCTTATTTGTAATTGTTGGAGCCAGTTGCAAACAACTCCAAGAGAGGATTGCTGACAATCTGATGTCTCTATGGTAGAAAGTGAAATTGTATTGGACCAGAAATTCTCAAACCAGGGGGACTAAATTCACAAATCTGACACTTGAGAGGTGGTTTGGAAATATCCCATGTCTCTTCTGAAATGCTGTCATCGCCTGCGTACTCAGAATATTGAGGGACTCATTCCTTTTTGCTAGAGCTGTTTTCTGTGTTAAATATAGCAAATTATTGTGCTGATGGAAAACAAACATGGGACATGTCAAAAAGGGACTTTTTGAGCTTCCGGTTAGGTCTGTTGTCACCATGTCTCAGTGTATTTCCAATGGAGTGAGGACATAGTCCCAGCTTTACACAGCAGATTCAGATGCAGCCCTACAGAACCAGTTGTAAAAAACACATGTACCGGTTAACACATGTAGATGTACATGTACTCATACCTTCTTGGAAATGCGAAAGGAAATGTGATTTGACGTCAGGAAAAAGTCGCAAAAACAAATTCACTTGAGTTGAAATGTGTTCAGCTTTGGCAAATTCACCATATAAAGATTGGATGCGATGTCAGAATTTCATATTCATGTTTGCTTGTGTGCCAAGTATGAACCGACCTCATTTAGAGGCTCTTGGCAGCCATGCACATAGGCATTGTGATACTAGACTGAAGGTAGGTCTCACCTCAAAAAGAGACCAGTCCTTATCCATTTAAATGTAGAACCGCAGCACCATTGATGAAAACCTGAAAGCATCATCAGAGTTGGTACATTTACTTTATCAGAATGGGCATCCAAGCTACACCAAACTGATGAGACACATTCAGGTGCATACACATATTGTCACATGGGACAGTAAAATAGATTGAGTTCCAATGCTGTGGTGAGCTTTGGTTATTAGAAAATGCAGGTGCTGGTGACTTCTGTTGTCTCTTGCATTTGCACAGGGTCGCGGGGCACTGCAGGATATAGACCAGATGTCTCTTTTCAAGCCACTCTGTAAGTTCTGTGCTAGTATATGTTGCGTGCGGGACATTGTGCCTACACTACGTAAGGCCATTGCTGAGGCCCAGTCTGACACACCAGGTGAGTAATACTGAAACATTTCCACAAGAAGATGAAGTCAGAGTGTTCATTTGTGACTAACTTCAGAAGTGATAGGTGTGCTTTTCAATCTGATAGAAACTAGGACTTGAACAGTTTTTTGGTTGAAGTACCATATATGATCATGTTGTGATGAAATGCTTGAAGCTGTAAATTGTGGGTGCCATGCATCATTGGAACCGAGTCAAATTTCAAACACCTGTTATTGAAAAAGTAGGGAACCAGTCACTAGAAATATGCAGTGTATGGCATTACATGTCAGGCTGGTACTACGTATATTTAGTTTCTGTGTAGCAATGTAGTTTCTTCACTTAGCAACTCTTTGAAATTTGATTCAGACATGAATGGGAATCAAAAGTATGCAATGTGGGTGTCTCTTTAGATAGAATGCCAGTCATCATTGGCTCAGTGCAGAGCTATAGAGGGCTTTTTCTTCAGTGAATCTTAATAAATGTCAGATGCAAGCACGAAATGAATCTTGCTGCCTCTTATTTGTGCCACCCCCAGGCCCAGTGTTTGTAGAACTCCCAATTGATGTCCTGTATAGTTACGACCTCGTCAAGAAAGAGCTGGGTACCAGCGGCAGTAAAGCTGGCATCCTAGCCAGCATTGTCTCATTGTAAGTAGTGCATATTATTTACCAATACATGCACTTACATGTACGTGTATTGGTACAGTAGTACCGATATCAACAACATGGATTCAGAGAGCATTACAGTTTGTACAGTATGTGTCTCAATTGAAGGGGTGTTTGTCCACCAGATTTCTGAAGAAGATGAAGAAAATTTAGAAAAAGTCTCAGTTGCATGTTACTGAATTAGTTAGATATTTATTTCATTGCCTACTGATTTACATTGTAGGCCAAAATATGTGTACCTGTATATCATGGAAGACACTACGTGTAAATGTTTTAGAACTGCATGTAAATGTTCTAGAACTATTTTTTGTGAATCATGATGATCGCCTTAAGCAGACTTGATAACAAAATTGTTTGGAATTCACCTCTTGTTCAAATAGAAGTTACTGCTGTTCCCTTGTCATTCCTGATCGTACAAGATGTATTTGGTTTTTACATGTAGTTCTCAGGTGTAATCCAGACATGTTCACCCTAACTACCCCAAACCTGCCATACTCCAACAGCAGGTTTTA